CCTGGAAGGCGATCCCACCGCCATCTGTTGGTTCAGGATCAAACTAACCATGGTGGGGTTGCACCTTAATTCGCAACACCTCTATTCCCAATTATCCCCTAACCCCCCCCCCCCCCCCCCCCCTTCTAATTTCAATTCCTGGGGAAACCCGTGGCGAAAACGTCACGAAATACGCCATTGCCTACGCGCGCTCGAAAACGCGTTGGTTTGGGTCTCGCTTAAAATACCAACGACATGTGGGCGATCGTACGAGTGTAGCATAATAGCTCCACGTGCAGAATCCATGTGCGCGCTTCAGCCAGCATTGATTCATGTCTTCACCTAAAATGTGGGTCTACAAATGGCGGCATGATTACGTTACATGCGCTTACATGCACGCTTACTGTCTCTTAATTAATATCAAAACGCGGCGCTATCAAGGTGAGGACCCGGCCACATGATCCGGGGAAACGCGTCATGGGCTTCAGATAAAACTGGCCTTTTCAAGGCGGAGCATAAGGGCGGGATGTCATTCATGGGGCATTTGACACTGGGCTTTTGACATCGGGTGATTTCGTGCACCACCCGATCGTACATAGCGCATCCACTTTCTGTAAAGCGGTCTCCATTTTTATCTGGGAAACCTACGTAAGGTTTCTGAAAGCCAAAAGGAAGATTACGACATTTTAGTCACTCCGTCTAAAATGAATGAAGATCACCTCAGAGCAAGATGAATGTGCCTACGTGTGATGTAGCGATTTCTGTCTGCTTTTGTACTCGTTCAAAGATGAAATTGCAAAGGAAGAACTAAAAAAACTCTAAGCGTTCTACAAAGCTGACCTTAGCAGATCCATGTTGGAGTGTTTTATGATAGGAAAACGTTCATAACAATATCTATGTTTTTTTATGCCGGTCATTCTACTCGACCAAATCTGTGATTGCCAGTCATGGTTGAAACATGTACGTTCGAGTGTAAAAAACTGGAGACAGCTAGGGGACTGGAATCCGAGCGACGACACCGGGTCTACCGTTTGTATACGTATAATCTGGTTTTAAGAACCGTTAGGATTGAGTCGGGGTATTCTTCGGGACAATAATAACTTGCCAAACCGAAGAACACCGACAAGATGGTGCATAAAAAATATTATAAATACTAAACTGATATAAACAACATTGTGCACACCGACTCAAGTGCCGTTACTTACATATTAATAATAAGTACAAAACATGCCTTGCCGGTAATATCAGATCAGCTGAGAGGCAGGAGCAGAGATTTCTTTTTACCAAGGGGGGCACGTCGCCTTTCTACACCCCCATGTTCTCAAATATGACATATCGAGAACGCTAGACGAGTGGGCCCTATCCAAGGGCTCATCAGAACAAAGGAAAGCCATCCTCGATTTACTGGTGAATTACATTCACAAGATCCGGTGCCTGTCAGCTCATCTAGACTTGACGTAATCACCACTCGTCCAAGGCAGGTGAATCTTTCATAAAAATAAGTACATGTTCTAGTTCACTCACTCCATCGCACCTTCATCTGCAAAATACGTACGACCACAGTGCCCTTAACATTTCAAGGCTGAAGTACCTTGCAGTGAAGTCAACTTGCGAAACTACCCTTTTGCTGATTCACGTGCATGTCTTATCTTAAAGAACTTCTACATAATATAAAATAAAAAAGGGAGAACTTTGATTATGCGCACAGAAATTTACCATAATTGGGAACAATATAAAAATAAAAAAAGTTTTTTAAGTTTTTTTTTTTAACGCCGGGTTCAATTATTGTTTACTTCAGTTTTTGTGGTATTTAAAAGTGTATATAAATTATTTTGTAAATATAAATTAAACTGGTACCACTTGACAGCACATTTATAGGCCTACAATCATATAGTATTTAAAAGGCAAAATGTATAAATAATACTAAGATAAAAGACTTCACATATGCCACCAAATCGTCAAAGATGAGATCTTTGGCATTTTGTTTTTAATTTCTGACATAAAATACAGCAAAGCAGTTTAATTTTTAAAAAAAAAGTAGGCCATGCGTCATACCCAGAAACCACGTATATTTCAGACAGCCGGAACCAGAAGAATTACTGCTAGTATTTTCATTTTTGCCTATTTATAAAACCCGACAAATGAAGATTGCGGCAAATCAAGATACCCACCCCGACATGCGTATTCGATTTCAAATGAAACCACCCTCACCGAAATAGTTATTTTGTCCAATCACTGTTGGAAACGCTGTTTTGACTCAGTGGCTAATCAAAAACTGCAGTCAACGAGTCAGGGAACTGAATGCTGATGATTCAGTAAGCGGCAAAGTTAAAAAATATAAAAACATATAAATACGTAACATTTTATACCAAAACCCTTAACGACACTTCAGCCGAATATCATTAACTTCTGCAAGAAAGCGCGGAACAGAAAATAACACCAAGCACCTCGTAGTGTAATAAACGTATCTCAGAAATCCACGTATATTTCACAACTAGTTTCAATTACAGACAGCCGCAGGAAATGGCAAAAGAAATACTGGAACTGTTTGTTCGTCATGCGTCGCCCTCTGTGTAACACAAGTACAATGAGTCCCAAGTGTTGCAGAAGTTGGGCGATAGATGGAACAACGTGCCAGGAAAAATGTAATTACACGGACATATGGCGCCGACCTTGAAGCGCTGGTTCGGTCGTCTGGCTTTCCAGTGCGAGCTTGAAGGCCTCTCCTAGTGCCACTAAAGAAGCTATGCTCCAGAGTCCAGAGTAACGACGCTTACCCATTTTGGGGCCTAAAATCGTGGTTGCCAGTTATCTGAAGCTTTATCTGAAATGACAGGGAAACGCTTTCCCGTCCTCATCCACCTCCAATACTCCTATTCGGATAAGTCGGATCACTTACAACGGAGCTGGTGCTTGAAGGTCACTACACAAATGCGCACGCGAACACTAAAAGTGCAAGGCCGCGATGCACTCTTCGCTTGATTGGACTAGCAAGAAATGGCTTGAACAGAAAAGTCTACGAATACAATTACCACGTTTTGTTTTCAGCACTTCTTTTCTTGGTCCTATCAGCTCGTAGCGTCGGCTGCACTGTGACTTTAGTAAAATGTGGTGAAGGCGCAATGGCGCTGCAAGAAAACGTATGCACATGATGATTCAGACATTATCATGCATATACAACATATTTGTGATGGCGTGCGTGCTGCCGTGTTAAAGACCCCACGAAGCAGTGATACTCCACGGATAACATTTCTCATATACAGCGTAAACCAGTGTAGCCGCTCCTTAAAAAGCGGACCGAACTTATGCTGCATAAACACAAACGTTAATGTTTTGTGTGATGGCGTGATATAGAACAACGTTTTGATTATATTGCTGAATATGTCAAATATTAGACAGATTATTTAATATGCTATGTACTTTAATATTATTCCTCTAGCTTACTTTTCCGTTTTTTTTTTGTCTCTACTATTGACATGCAGAGTGTTTTGCATTAAATATATAAACTTTAAAGTGGTTAGCGTTTGAGAACTTAGGTATTCAGCCAAACATTTTTTTCTTCTTATGTCCGATTTGCTTCAATTGCAAACAATGCACTAACCCTTCAACAGCAAGCCCATTATGCCTCAAAATTTGCCTCGTACCATTTTGTTTGGGTTTGCGCTTGGGACCACGTTGTCCTGGGCCACTTTGTCCGGGACCAAACCATTTTGTCCGGATGCCGGGAAAACGTTACTGCCATTTCAGAGGCCACTTCGCAAAACAGTTCTGCGCTTGAACAAATGTCGCAAAGATTCGCTGTGCTTGAAAGCCATTCGCGAGGTAATAATCTGCTGTTTTTCAACATCCCTGAAAGCAGGATCGAGACGTGAAAACAGTCACTCAACCAGGTTTTTCACCTTGTCACGATTCAATGGAACGATGCACACTTGCGACCGATCAGCGTAAGAGGCATTTATTTATTTATTAGATACTGCGGACCTTTCGAGGTCCAAGTAGGGTGGGCGGTAAACATAAATACCGCTACAGAAAACAATGGCTGCACATAAAACATGAAAACTATGGTTGAAAAACTGCTGCACAGAAATACGACACAAAATATACATATATCAAAATCTAGTAAATCACAAAGTTATAACAATGATTCATCAAAATATACAATGACAAAGATAACAGTGCAACAACAAAGCTGAAAGCTCCATCAAAATATACATTGACAAAAAGACTACAATGAAACTATTGTTAGGATGGAACCTTTACTGTCCCTCATTAATCCCAGAACCTAGCTGCCCGTTCCCCCGGTCCGTCCTCGTCGTGTTTCCTATTCCGTGTTCGTCCTCTCGCGGCACGTGCGCGGCACTTGCGCCTGGCATAGTCCTTCGCCAGACACTCCTCACAGGTCTCCCCCTCTTGAGACGTGAACCAGACGGGAGTATATCTGGAACTGGCTCGTGGTACGGTGTCAGCTGGTCCGCGTTAGCCAGGTGTCGGTCTCGCCCAGTAACTGGGTCCTTAAGCACAAAGTCGTTAGCACCCAGGCACTGGACCACACGGAAGGGCCCCGTGCGGCGTGGAGCAAGCTTCGCAGTAATGCCTTTGGCCGCATCGCTCAATGTGTGGGCATCAAGGAGGACAAGGTCACCTTGACGTATTGTTGCAGGCTTCCGGTGCCGGTCGTAATAAGTTTTCTGGGCCTGCCTTGCTTTCTCTTGGTGATCCCGAGCGAAATCGAGTGCGTCGTGCAGGCGCCGAGTGACTTCCGCCGCAAAATCATGACATTCTGAAGCTGGTGGCTCGCTGTCATCCTTGAGTCCCGCCACTTCCCACGGGGTGCGAAGCTCTCGGCCGCAGCAAAGGAAGGCTGGGGTAAATCCGGTGACGACGCTTTCTGCCGTGCGCATCGCAAAAGCGATTCAGGAATGTGCTGGTCCCAGTCTCTGTGGGTAGAACAATATGCTCTAAGGCTCTCCTTCACCGTGCCATTGTGCCTCTCTACCATTTGTCCTGATGGCCTGTGAAGTGACTACTTTACGAGTGACGGTGGCTGAGTCAAGGTGCGGTTAACTGTGTTTATTATAGCGAAAGAAAGGCGTCAAGTCAAAACCAGCACAGAGCATCTTCTTCGTGCCGAAGAGCGTCGGTGATCCGCTGCTGCTTATGTTTCAGCCAGGAGAGAGACGGGAGAGGGAAACTCCGCCGGGGCCCCGCTTGCGAAATCGGGGGTGTCGGGTTGCTCTCCGTCGGTCGGGGAACATGGCTCGTACCGATGGCTCGTACGGTCCGCGTACGTAGCACTCCTCCACCCTTGGTTTACACTAGGCGGCTTGAAAGCGCGAAGGTTTCCGTCTCGGACGAGTTGACCTTCTTGGCGCTGGCATGTTTGGCGCCTCGGGAATGCCGACGTCGTCCATCCATGTGTCGTCCTCAGAAGTTGGTGTTTCCATTTCCGGAATCTTCAGCCTGATCTGGTCGGCGTGTCGAACAACATCGCCGTCTGGTGTAGTAACGATTGCCATGCGCGCTCCCTTCGTCTCCTTTACGACTCCCGGAATCCAACGGGAACCCGATCCGTAGTTGCGGATAAACACGGTTCTTCCTGGTTGAAGTCGTTTGTCAGCGGTGATCTGAGGTTGTTGTTCTTCCTTTTTCTCCAGCCGCGCGGGGTTAATGAGGTCCAATCTCGAACGTATCTGACGTCCTACCAAGAGTTCTGCCGGAGATTTTCCTGACGTGCTGTTGGGTGTTCGCCGGTATGAAAGCGACCAGCGGTCCAGCTTTGTCTGTAAGTCTTTGCCGGAAATCTTTTTCAGCGCCGACTTCACCGTTCGCACAGCCCGTTCGGCGAGTCCATTCGACTGTGGGTGATATGGTGCTGTTCGAACGTGACGCACGCCGTTCTGGGATGTAAAATCTTTAAAGGGCTGTCCGGTGAAGGGAGTGCCATTGTCCGAAACGATACAGTATGGTACTCCAAAACGAGCAAATAGTCCTCGCATTACTTCTACGGTCTTTTCTGAAGTAGCACTCTTCACCGGAACAGCCTCAATCCACTTAGAGTAGCTGTCTACTACAATTAGCAGCATTTGTCCGTCGACTGGCCCCGCATAGTCGATATGGATTCTTGACCAGGGTATGGTCGCTGCTGGCCACGACAGTGGCTCCCTTGAGGGCGGCATAGGTTGCGCTTGCTGGCACTGATGACAGTCGCGGGCCATGTTCTCGATGTCGCGATCCATGTTTGGCCACCAACAGAGCGATCTGGCCAGGGACTTCATCGCAGCCATGCCAGAGTGGGCGTCGTGTAGCTCCAGCAGCACCGCTCGCCTTGCCTTTCGTGGAATTACTACTCTTCTCCCCCACACCACAAGTCCTTCCTCCACCGACATCTCCGCTCTACGGGTCCAGAAGGGTTCGAGAGTGGGATCTTGTGGCTGATTTGGCCATCCTTCCAGGATAGTCGTTCGAAGTTTACTCAACTCCGGGTCCGCAGCTGTCAAATCCGCGAGTTGTTTCACCGAAAGTGGTCCTGTTTCCAGTTGCTTTACGAAGGCCACTTGCTCTGGGCTTGTCGGTGATTGACTTCCATCATTCAGTGGAAGCCGGCTTAGCATGTCGGCGTTACCGTTGCACTTCCCAGCCCTGTGGCGTATGTTGTACATGTATCCACCAAGTGTCAGAGCCCACCTCTGGATCCTGCTAGCCGCTGTTGCTGGGATAGCTTTGTCTTCCCTGAAGAGTCCAACAAGGGGTTTGTGGTCTGTCACCAGTGTGAATTGTCTCCCCAGGAGATAATCTCTGAATTTGGTGACACCAAAGATCAAGGCAAGAGCTTCTTTTTCGAGATGCGAGTAGTTCTTTTCAGCGGGCGATAAGGTCCTGGAGCGGAACGCAATCGGCCTCGCGACGCCATCGATCAGGTGAGAAAGCACCGCTGCCACTCCATACGGCGATGCATCGCACTCCAGCAGTACTTCTTTCGATGGGTCGAAATGAGCCAAAAATCCGCAGTTCTGAATTGCGTTCTTTGCTTCCTGAAACGCTGTTTCTTGGGCCGTGTCCCACTGCCACTTCGCATTCAGTTTGAGTAGGTCGTACAAGGGGTTGAGCATGGTTGACATGCGGGGAATGAAGCTCCTATAATACGTGAAGAATCCAAGGAACGACCTTAGCTCTTGCACATTTCTTGGTGTTGGCGCTTCTTTGATAGCCTTTAGCTTCTGTTCTTCAGGATGTAGCCCATCACGGTCAATTCGGTGTCCAAGGTAGGTTACCTCTTGCCTCCGGAATTCGCACTTGTCTTCTCGAAGACGAACACCGCTGCTGTGCAGTTTTTGGAGTACTTTCTCCAAGTTTCGCCCGAATTCTTCCTCGCGTTCTGCCACCAGAATGTCATCGAGGAACACCTGCGTCCCCGGAAGGTCGCGTAGGAGTGCTTCCATCCTGCGCTGAAATATCGCCGGGGCCGAGGCGATTCCATAGGGCAGTCTGTTGTAGCAGTAGAGTCCACGATGCGTGTTTATCACTGCCACCTTCTTTGACGACTCGTCGAGGGGAACCTGTTGGTACGCATCCTTCAGGTCCAATTTCGAGAAGCATTCTCCGCCATTCAGTGATGCGAACAAGTCCTCGATTCTTGGGAGAGGGTACTGTTCAATGTCACAGGCAGGGTTTAGTGTGACCTTAAAGTCCCCACAGATTCTCACGGAACCGTCTTTTTTCATCACCGGCACGATGGGAGTCGCCCATTCAGAATGTGTCACCGGCGACAGGATTCCTTCTTGGCAAAGACGGTCGAGCGCAGCTGAAACCTTGTCTCGCAGCGCATAGGGAAGAGATCTTGCCTTGAAGAATCTCGGTCTTGCGTCTTGGCGAAGGTGCAGGTGCACTGGTGGTCCCTCCATTTGGCCTATTCCAGGCTTGAACAACTCGCCAAACTTCGTCTTGAGTTCGGAGACCCGGTCTTCCGCCTCGGCGAAGTTGATCTTCTGGAGTAGATGTAGCGCTCCAATTACGTCGCGGCCGCACAGACTCGGTCCATTGCAGTCCAAGACGTAGACTGACGCCTTTGCACACTGTCCTTCGTGTTCCACTGTCATGTGGAGAACTCCTTTAACTGGTAGGGATCCCAGGTAGCACGATAGCTTCGTCTGGCAAGAGGACATTTTAGGCCATGACTGATGGTGTTGTTGGTAAACACTCACCGAAATGACTGATACTGGGGAACCGGTGTCGACCTCCATGTTCACAGGAATTCCGTTCCAATTCAGCGGAATGGTCCATGGCTTGTGCATCGGCAGCTCACTGACGCTGTTGATCGCGCGAAGATCCAATTCCTCTGCGGGGTCCGATTGCGCTGCAGCGATGACGTTGGCCTGACCATGGCGTGCCGAACCACTTGCCTGAGAGCGCGACTTGCACACCCTTGCAAGATGTCCCGTTTTTCCGCATTTAAAGCAGGCAGTTGACATAAAAGGACACTTTTTTGGGTCGTGGTCGTTGTTGCCACATCGTCCGCACTTCTTGTGCTGATGCCCTTGAGACTGGGGTGCTTTGTTTCGCGGAAAGCGTCCCACATGCTTATTCTTCACAGCTCGTTCGTTCACCTTGTTGACTTGGGGATGGTCCGAGCCTTCTCCTCTCAAGTCCGAAGCATTCTTGCTAGCGGTCTCCACCGCCAGTGCTATGCGCGTTGCTTTTTCCAAGGTCAGCGCTGACTCTGCCAGCAGTCTCTTCTGCACTCCTACATCGCGCACACCACAGACCAGTCGATCCCGGATCATGACGTCGAGGGTGTCGCCGAAGTTGCAGAACTCGGTGAGTTTCCGGAGAGCTGCCAGAAATTCCGAAATAGTTTCCTCCTCTTGCTGGGAGCGGCTATTGAACTTATACCGTTCCATTATTTCGGATGGTCTCGGTGAGAAGTGTTGGTTGAGGGTCCCCAGGAGCTCCTCGAAGGTCTTTGTGCTTGGCTTTATGGGAGTCAATAAACTTCGAAGTAACCCGTAGGTCTTCGGTCCTACGCAAGACAGAAAGATCCCGGTCTTCTGCTTGTCGTCGATAATCCGATTACCGACGAAGAACTGCTCCAAGCGTTCTGCGTAGTTCGCCCATGGCTCCACTTCCGCGTCGTACGCTGGGGCGGTGCCGATAGTCGCCATCTTTCTTTCACTTTAGAGTTCTTTCCGAGAAGAAATCACAAACCGTCGGGACTTGCCTTGTCAGATGTTGGGCATCTGGATGAGGGCTTCGATATCCCATCCTCGTCGCCATTGAAGTGACTACTTTATGAGTGACGGTGGCTGAGTCAAGGTGCGGTTAACTGTGTTTATTATAGCGAAAGAAAGGCGTCAAGTCAAAACCAGCACAGAGCATCTTCTTCGTGCCGAAGAGCGTCGGTGATCCGCTGCTGCTTATGTTTCAGCCAGGAGAGAGACGGGAGAGGGAAACTCCGCCGGGGCCCCGCTTGCGAAATCGGGGGTGTCGGGTTGCTCTCCGTCGGTCGGGGAACATGGCTCGTACCGATGGCTCGTACGGTCCGCGTACGTAGCAGCCTGTATGGCACAGTGTGGCGGTCGGCGATCCCCCAGTGGCTTAGGAGACCTCGCCACAGTTTACTGACGAATGGCTTGCCGCTGTCACTGGAGATGGAAACAGGTGTGCCGTGTCGGCAGAAAACTTGCACCATGCACTCTATAATGGTTTTGCTGGTTGCTGTTCGTAAAGGAAAAAGTTCGATAAACTTTGTGAATTTGTCGATTATCACGAAAAGGTGTTTGTTGCGTCTAGGTGTGGCGGGCGAGGTCCTACAATGTCCACACTTAGCTCCTCCATCGGTGCAGTGGCCCACTGGTTGCTCATAAGCCCTTGTGGCTTCTGGCGGCGGGCTTTAGTACGTTGGCACACGTGACAGCAACGAACGTGCCTGGCGACGTCAGCTCTCATTCCCAACCAGACAAAGTGGGAAGAGACGCGAGGAAACTCGGGGGCGTGGATGATTAGATTTTCATCGCGTTCCGCCACTGCTAGCTTTGCACCTGTTGCGCGAATGGTAACTTTGGTGCTGCCCCGAGTTTCCCACCAGCTTCAAGCGGTTCTAAAATTGACTTATATAGTGGTTTTCGACTATGCTCAGCATGTTCCCAATTGAAACCGTATGCTTATTTTACTAATTAAAAAATTAATTAAGGAAGTTTAGTTAATTATCCGGCTTATCGCAAAAATTAGCCGCCTATATCATGTCCCCCTGGTCGCATAACTCACCTGCCCAAAACTGTATTAGTGCATAATTTCCGGATTTGTCGTAATAAATCTGTTAGAATTTCGTAAAACGGAACACCCGGTATATATATATATATGTATATATAATTCATTACATAGGAGAAACTAAAACAAGCATGAGAAAGCGCATGAATCTACATGCAAGTCACATACATAAACACGTTGCCAGACCTGTTTCTCGTCATTTTAACTCCAAAGGACAGAACGGACTTTTTGTCTTTAATTTTATTATACTCCATGGTGGCTTTCCAACGAGAAATTAAGGCATCCGAATTTATTTCTAAATTTAACACTTTAGAACCGATGGGCTTTAAGAGTCCGAAAGGGTCATTGGCCGTCTTTTTTCGTGGACATTTAATTGGGATCTTCTAATAGGTTCCGCACTGCTGCTTTTCTTTCGCTTGATCGTTTAATGTGACGCGAGCAAACGCTTTGCATTGGGCTTCTCAATGGCTTCACATGATGCCAGGTATATTTGGCTTATGTCCAACCACATGTCCCAAAAACTGGTTTTGTGATAATAATGGCGCTAATAATATTAAACTTAATTATTTTAATACTATTTACTGCTTTTTTATCGGGATATATTAGACTTTTAAGGAAGAAATTAGTTCAGTAGATACCCACTAACCGGTAAGCATTTTTCTAATTACTTCTTTTTTTTTTTGCGGCCGTTTTTGCCTTCACTGAAAGAAAAGGAAAACGAAGCGTTCTTTCACAAACAGATAAAGAGCCTAGCAGGCTTGAAACGTTTCTGCATACACAACTTTTTTGTCGACCTTCTTGACCGGGGCGACCATCTCCCTAAAGACGAAGACGTGTGCAGGTCCCCGTTTGCGCGAGGACCTGCGAGATCACACCCCATAATCGCGCCAGCAGCGTTGACAGCCCTGAGCACTATCTATAAAACAGAGTATACTGTATTTAATACTCCACATGTCCTGTCGACAAAATGAGGTGCGATATGATGATTTCTCGCTTTGACGTAGCGATTCGTGTCAATTTTACCGTTTGTTGTAGAACTTTATTTAAAAGACAACTTCGCGCAATACGTTTTGGATTACCACTGTTTTCAGCTAAGGCAGTGTCCCTAAATTACCAGGTGTAAGTTGTTTCTCAATATTTTGTGTAGCTTTATAGATATCACGGCTCAAAGTTTTGTTTCGGGCGTCTACGCCAAAACTCGAAACTATCTGCTAGAGGGAGGCCAACACCGATCATCAGCCGTACGGCAATCAACGTGACTTCACCGTGGTGCTGCGGTACGCGGTACAACCTACGTTTTAGATTTGCTCAGTTCCGCAACTGCTTACAGGCGCTGCTTTCATAAGCAGTATCCTTCTATCGCACCACGACTCGCCTCTCGCTGTTCGACGCGCCGGACGGTTGCTGTGGTAACTGCTGTGTATTCTATGGAATGCGTACGTTTCGAAGCGCAGCGTCTATAGTTCGTCTCACCTTAGCATGAACTACTGGTAGCCGCGCACGCTAAAGCGCGAGCTAGTTGCTCTAAATGAAGCCTCGAGCGCTCGTGCACTGTTTTGAAACAAAATTCTAGATGGCGCTTGAAACGACGGGAGGCGGGCTTAAGCGAGTGAGGGGGGTACCTCCTTCCGAGGGAGTTCCACTACTGAGGTAATTTATAATAACATTGGGTATAACCAATCAACCGCAGCTATACCGCGACGTGACGTCACTGCGGTGCTGCGTCAGTTTTATCAGGCTAAAAGCTATCCCGCCTGTAAAGTGCAGCTGGTCGCATCTTTAAAATCGGTTGTGGTGGAGTACGCTGCTTCACTTTGATGTAATATTTCGGCAGTGATCATATTCTGAACCACTAAAGCGACACCAGTATTTTATTTTGGTTTCGTTTTCGACCCGAAACTCCATTTAATATGCTTTTTAACAACTAAAATGAATTGGGTCCCGTTTTTCTCTCCCTTTTTTCCACTTTTTATGTCAGAAATATTTTTCCTAAATTGTTTTCCTTTTTCAACCCTCTTTTAATTACTTACCAGCCGCAGATGCCACCCAGACTGGAGGGGGCCTTCAGCTCGAAGACCCCTTTGTCAACATATCATTTTATTAGTTTCACGTAATTCAAAATTGAAAGTTGTCTTGATCACTCTGATAAATTTGGAGCACGACTCGCACGTATTTTTGTATTTTCGATTCTAAGGTCAGGCAGTGTTTAACGTACTTGTACATAACAAAACCAAACCCATGTTCCTACAAATTGACCACCAGACCGAGATTTTAATTTTAGCAAGGCGCGTTTTGTTTCCATAATTTACAAGTACATTGAACCTCTGTGTGACTTTAAAATCGAAAGTACTGAAAATGCGTGAGTGCCAAGTCTCCCATCCTTCTTTTTATTTCTGTTAACACGCTGGTGAGCGGTGCTACAAAGCAATGCTAAAACAGATCCTGAGCGTATAAAAAAATATAAGCACTCTCTACATCCTGATACAAGCGAGGTCACCTGTGTATTCCATATGAGGTATTAATAAGAAATGAAAGCTCGTTTTACTTTTATTTATATTCGGGCAATGACGGGCAAGGCGTACAATTTTCAAAGAAGTATTTCTACCCGGTCCATATATTTTCTAAGGTTATATTAACCAATTTGGCCAAAGGTGCAGGAAGTTTCGTTGGAAGGTCGTTCAGGTCAGCGTTCACACAATTACCGTGGCGGTCGCATCTCTGAAAAGCGCAAAGGACGGCAAATGTGACAAAATGACTGTCAATTGTTATTAGAGAGAGAGAAAGCGAAATTGCTTAGCTTTAAGCAGTTACATGTTCGATAAGAAGGCTGACAAAGGCAGAATTGTGATTCATTATTCGCCTCCATCTTCAATTTTATGCATCATAATAAAATCCTGCCTTACAATCTCGTCTGGATTTACTGGCAAACAAAACTCTGCACAGCATTTAGTATTTCGTGCACTACAATACACCTTCCTTTTTTGTGTGCAAATGGCGGACTACCGTATTTACTCACTTAATAGACGCTCGGCGTATGTACAAGCCGGCGAGTTTAATTTGCCACA